AAGACAGCTGGGTACCCAGGAAGGGAGTGGTGGCCAGAGGAAGGAGGGCAGGGTTAGCCCCAGGGAGTCTTCTCCAGCAGGCCCCTTATTGGAGGAGCCACAACTTTCCAGAGTGTAGGACCATAGGCAGCCAGGGGCACCAGGAAGACGTTGCCAGCCTACACCAAACCCAGCCAAAAGCCATGCTGTCTCCTACTCACCCTCATCTGGCAGACAGATCTGCCATCTTGGACCTGGCATCTGCACAAGGCTGGCCACAGGCGCTGAGGGCCCTTGCTCAAAAATTATGAATGCTCGCGCGGTTTGAGACAACACTAAACAGCAGAGCGGAGAACTGAGTCTGAGGCCTTTGGGGTGAGCCTGGGGTCTAAGAAGGGTGTGTGTGTGGAGCCTGGACAAGGAGCCTGCACCCCGGCTAGCTTCATGCTTTGACTGAGAGCAAAGCAAAGCCCCTTTGCAGCCAGGACAAGCCCTTTTCTCTCTGAATGTTCTTCTGGAGCAGATCCAGGCCAGGGGTAGGGCACGGGGCCATGCCCTCTGGAGTCCCTGAAAGGCCTGTCCCAGCAGTTGCCCGGGGACACAGACCCATTTCACAATCCTGTGACCGAAGCTGGGTTAGGAAATAGATCTCAAACTCCAGACTTTCTGAGACCAAGAGGACCCTTAGCTCCCATAGGATCCACAGCACTTCCTGCCCCCCCCCCCCACAACCCGGCACTCATACCAGCTCCCACCTTCCCAGAAAGGCTGCCCCAACTTCCTGGCTGCCGTCTTTCTGCTGTCTGATCTTCCAGCGTGTCTCTCTGGGTTACCACCAGATTCGTGTTCACACATGTACAGTCTGGTCTGTCACCTCCAAGAATATTCAGCTCAGAAGGGCCAAGGCCCGTGACAGACCAGTTCCCACCTTTCCACACATGAGCCTCTTCTCTGGGCTGTGGCCCCAGCTTAGTTAGCTCTTGTGTCTGAGGTTCCAGCGTGGCTGGCTTTTCGGCCCTAAGCCAGTGGGCTGCACAGAGCTGGCGGCACAGAGCTGGTGGCCAGTCATTTGCCTGAAGAACAAATAAACAAGTCAGGCATGGTGGCACAGTTAGTTACTCAGGAGTCTGAGGCAGGAGGACTGCAAATTCAATGCCAGCCAGGACAACTTAGACCATGTCTCAATCAATCAATCAATCAATCAATCATCAATCAGATAGGTACGGATGTGGCTCAGGTATCACACCTGCCTAGCATGGAAAAGGCTCTAGAATCAACCCCAGGCATCTGACAAAGGGAAAGGAGCCAGAGCTGATGTGGTGGGGGGACTCCCTCAGCTTGGTAGTGAGGAACACATCACTCTTGGCAGAAAGAGTGCCCCCACCTCCACTCAGCACCACCTCGACCCTGCCCCATTCCCTCTGGGCAGAATGTCCCACCTTGACAGCTACCCCTGCCTCTCACAGACAAATTCTCAGCACATTTAGAGACACCCGGGTCAGCCAATAAAAAGCACAGACATCCAGGTAACTGTGACCTTCGGCCGAGACTCACACTTTAGTGTAGGTACATCCCAGATACTTTGTGAGATTATATTCGTCCGCACATGCTTTACCTGAAATACAGACTTAATCGCCTGTCCTAGATTTTCTCCAGCAGCCCTCACACCCAAAGGCGGGTGGTGCAGTCAATGCTCCTTTTGGAGAAGTTTGTCTGCCTTAGCCAGGGGCCTGTCCATAGCAAGCCATCAGTCTGTGGGCCTATGAAAAGGACTCGAATGACAGCAGTTTCCCCTCTCCCTGAGGGGTGCCCAGAGGATTCAAGGGGTAATAATTGTCGTGCCCCTAACCCCAATCCCTACCCACCCCCTCTCAAGACTCTGAACTCCTTCCTCCCCCATTATGATCTGGCCACATTCTGGTGCCATGGGCTGCTCCATTTTGCAGAGGAGGAAACCACAGTCGGAGAGTTGAAGGGACTCAACGGAGGTCACACAGCCATGTCCTCTCAATCTTTGAGCATCTGTTCCAACAATTAGACACCACGAAGCCAACCAGACTCAAGTGATGGGTCAACGCGGTAGGGTCACACTGCAGCGCCCAGTAAATGGTGGCCAAAGCTGTCACCACAGAGGGAACGAGGGGAGGCGAGCGCAGTGGAAAGTCTGGTTGCTTTTCCATTCATTGAATTAACTGGTTGTTTTTACCCACTGTCATTCAGCCTCCACGTGTGACTGGAGAGCTGGCTCAGTGGTTTGCAGCGTGCAGCGCTCCTCTAGAAGATCTGAGCTCGGTTTCCAGCACCCACCAAACAGCTTACAGCAATTCCAGCTGCAGAAGATCCCATGTGTTCTTCTGGACGCACCAGGTACCCCCATACACTTGGCAGGTACATATAAGAGACCAGTGAGATGACTCAGTGGGTAAAGGAACTGGATGCCAAGTCTGAGGACCTGGGTTCAATTCCTGGGACCCACATGGAAGGATAATCAACTTCCGCAAATTATCCTCTGACCTCCTCATGTCACACACACACGTAAGTAAAAATCAAATTTAAATTTAATTCTTATTTCTGATACAACCAATGGTCAAGACATTTCCCATGGATGGACAAGCCGATCCCCTCCAAGAAGATGTCTGCACAACAGGAGCTACTGCTGAAATCCTTTGCCAAGGTCCTAAGCTTCGGACCTTGAATTACTGAGGGAGTTTGTTGTTTGTTGATTGAATTACTGAGGGAGGGTGTAGTCAGCAGTCTGACTGACCTTACAAAGAACACCTTTTGCTCATATAAAAGGTAGCCTGCCATGGCTGATATTCCATAACACCCCCCCACACACACACACACATAACTTGTAGAAACTTTTATGCAAAGGAATTCAAATCTTTAAATCTTTCCAATTTATAAAAATTTTATGTAACACCTTTTGTGTTTGAAAAACACCCCCCCACACACCTTCTTAGAACTGGCCGATCCCTCTTCTTTTCTTTGCCAAGATTCTTTAAAAACTATTCAGTATCGAAAGACTACAAGGTTGGACCTCACCTGTGTTAGAATAAGAAGCAAGTGAACACCCTGTCCCAGTCTGGGTCACGGCCCAACGTTTTTTGTGGGAAAAAAAATTGTCTTGGGAGTTACTTTCATTTTGTTCTTGGTGCAACTGGGACTTACTCAGTTCGGATAGCTGAAGTGAGCAGGCCCAGGGTGGCCTCACTACCCAGTCCACCTTCTCAGTACCCTCCCAGACAAGATTCATGAGAACTTTCCCTTCAGTTTGCAGGGGTCAGATTTCAGCCAGACCTTCCCATGCCAGAGACCTGCTGGGGAAATCACTGGTGCTGGGGCAGTGGTGAGGCCTTGGCCCCTGCCCAGAAATGATGGTACCTGTAAGACTGAGTTGTAGCTAGAGCAATCCTCCCAGATGACCTGGGTTTGGTTCCCAGCACTCACATGGTGGCTCACAACCATCTGTAACTCCAGTTCCATGGGATCAATCAGTCCACCGCGGGTTGCAGTGCATAGTGTATATAGATAAACAAAAATTCATACATATATAAGTACCAAGATTGAGCTACTCTTTCAAACAAATGGGCTGGAGCATCTTGGAATCTCCCTGGGGCAGGATGGGGCTCCAGGGTGAATCCTCCAGGAAAGTCCCTAAAGGTAGGGAGGGGAACCCACTTCCTGTGCTGCTCTGCAAACTCTAGACTATTCTCTCAGCTCCACCTTCTCCTCCTCCATCCAGTCTATTAAAAATAAAATAACAACTCATAAAAGCTTCCCCCTACCCCAAGACAAAGGCCCATGGCCTGCAGAAAGGCACCTGTCCTGGTACCCCTCACCTCCAGCTTGGGCAGAAGTCAGGTTCCAACTTCCTGCACCCTCCTCAACCTGAGCTTCGCTGACCACTTTCCCCGGCTGTAAAACGGACCCTAATCAAATATTTTGCCTCCCCAAGTTGCTACAGTGTGACGTTACTCTCTGGCACACAGTAGGTGCACCATAGAGCTGGTGTAAGTTAGGAAGGGGTCAAAGAGACACACTTCACTTTTGAGGCTGGAGTTGCGCTAGGGATGGGAGGCCTCTTACGTAATAGTTTAATATCTTTGTAGCTGGAGCATGGGTTCCCGTAGCTCTCGAGTAATTAATTAAGACTTAATGAACAAAAAGCACACTCCCGTGACCCCCTTTTACACTCTGAACCTAGCCAGCCGGTGGGGGCAAGCTTGGGGCAGCAGATAGAGGGTGTGTAACTCTTGGGTGCCCCATGACAGTGACACCCCCCCCCGCTCTCCCCCCCCTCCTTGTCCTGGGCACTAATTTACAAGAGCATTGCCTGAGGGCGCAATCCGGGGCGTCTACAGGAGCCCCAGTCTATCCCAAACCCTGTTAAAGTGCCAGGGCGCGGGGAAGGGGGGTAGAGGGGTGGTGGGAGGGGTCTGGAGCCTCGTGTGGCTGCAGAATCTCCTGAGAAATCTGACTACGGGTGGTCTTTATCCCGGGGCTCATTAGGCTCTTGTTTCCATGCATTGAACCCCGCAAGGGTTCAGTTCTTGGGAGCCTCCCAAAATCCTAGGTGGTGGACCCAGGGACAGGAGTTGGGCGGGATGAGAATACTTTAACTTCTTGAGTCTTGCTTTGGGTTGCGGCCGCCGCAGGCCTGGGAACCCCCGGGGACCTGACCGGGGGTGATTCCCGAGGGCGCCGGGTCTACGTGGGCACGGGGCTCGGGCCCTTTAAGAGCCCGCCCCGTGCGCGGCGGGCCCGCCCCCCGGGCCGAGGAGGGTGCGGGGGCCGTCGGCGGGGATTGGCGCAGCGCGCGCCCCCTCCGCGGCCCCCGCGCGGTGGGAACCGGCAGCCCCGTCTAGCGCTGACGTCAGACCGTCTGCCTGCCTCCGACCGCGGGCGCGCGGCGCAACCCGATCTCCTTGGACTTGAATGAGGAGCGGGCGGCGGCGCTCGGCTGCGGATCGGCCGGCGCGCAGGCTGAGCCCGGCGGCTCCGCGCCCCGGCCGCCCGCCCGTGCCCCGCACGCCGCCCGCGGCCACGGCCCGCCGCCCCGGGATTCCCGCTCGGCGGCCGGGGGACCCAGCTCGCCCCGGGGACCTCGGCGGCGCCCCGAGCCCGCGCCGCGCCGGGCGCTGTATGCGGGGCCCGAGCCCCGTGCGCCGGCCGGAGCCGCCCCCGCGCCCCGCGCCTCGCGCCCCGCGCCGCCCGTGACCACTTGATGGGGGTCAACGGCACCGCCGCCGCCGCCGCCGCCGCCGGGCAGCCCAATGTCTCCTGCGCGTGCAACTGCCAGCGCTCTTTGTTCCCCAGCATGGAGATCAGTGAGTGAGCCCTTTCCCCCCCGGGACAGCCTCGTGGGATCCCCGGCCCGGGACGTCGCGATCGCTTGGGGTCTCGGGAGCCGCGCGCCTGCTTCACCCAGGCTCCCCGGCTGCGTCCGCCGCGCCCGGGGCGCGCCCTCCCGAAGGCTCGCGGCAGCTGGCGGCCGGCCTGGCTTTGTCCCGCGGCGCTGCGAGCCTGGCACGGTCCCCGCCGCGCGCGCCCCGCCCGGTCCGACTCGGACCCGGGGCTCGGCGGGGACGCCGCGCCGCGCGGGAGGGCCAGGCGGGCCGTGCCGGGGAAGTTTCCGTTCCGTTTTCCCCAGGGGCCGAGGCGATGGAGCAATTAGGCTCTTTATCAACTTTGGGCGGGGGGAGCGGGCGGGGGAAACACTGTCTGGCCCGGGAGGTGTCTGGGGTTCCTGGCGTGTGTCTGGAGTGGCCGTGGTGATGTGTCCCGGGTTTCCGTGCGTCTGTGGAGTGCGCTGGTCTGTCTGTCTGAGTCTCGGCGAGTCTCTGAATGTCTGTGGATTTGAGTCGCGATCTGTGCCCGTGTGTGAGTCTGAGTGCTCCTGTATCACTGGGTGTCTGATTTGGTGTGCGCGTATGGCGGGGGTCAGTATGGTCCGACTCCAGCCAAATCTGCGGACCGTCTGTGTCCAGGTGTCTGAATCCAAGACTTGGAGCTGGTGCGTCTAGCCCACCGCGTATCCCCAGTGTGTCATTGTGAATGTCTGTCCCGGACTCCTATAAATAGCCTGTCTGGACTGCTTGGCTTACTCTGGCTGGGATGGTGGTTACAAATGAGTCAAAGTTTTGGGGCTGTTTGTGTTGGGATCTTCTTCGAGATGGTAGACCCAGGGTGGTGAGTGCCTTGCTTGAGCCTCTGGCCGTTGTCAACATCCTGAACCACCAGAAGTTGAGATTAGGAAGCATCTACTTCCTTCTGTGACCCACCCAGGTGGCTGTTGAGTTGGTTAAGGAATTGAGGCTTCACCCGCTGCCATCTGCCTTCTAATCTGCACTCTTCCCCTAACTCGCTTTTTTGGGGGGGCACCTTTTGTCTCTCTCTTTAGTTTCCCCCGTCTTACCCCAAAGCATTTCAGGCAAAAGGGCACCCAGCCTTTCCCTAACCCAGACATCCTTCCTCTAGCGGAGCCCAGGGGCAACTGCTACAGAACAGGGCAGTCTTTAGGTGACTCATGAGCTGGTTTCACAGGCAGCTGCTACAGTTTGTGCACCCCCACCCCAACCCCCAGAATGTACAGTAAAGCACAAGGGGTAAAAATAACCTACGACCAGCCCCACCTGGGCAGGGGAAGCAGGCTTGGGTCCTCATGCCACCCCTGACTCACCGTCTCCCAGTCTGGAATCGAAAGCTCTGGTCTCTCTGTACCCGACTTCTCCCCAGCAGCCTTGTGCTGCCCCAAGCCTGGAGGTGTCAAGAGAACCTGCCAAGAGCCAGTGTATGCGGTCTTCTTTTGGCGTCAAACCCTATTGCTTCCCAGGAGCCCGTGGGATCTCGGGAGGTTCATGAAATTCACCAGGATATTATTAAAAATAAGTCCACACATGTCTGGTAAGAGGCTGACCGAAGCTCCGGGGATTTGTCTTCCCACAGAAGTGAGGGACCCACTTTAGGAGACACCACATTCCGAAGTCTAGGCACAGTAGGACACTGTGATCTTTTCTGTGTTCCTAGATTTTGAAAAACCAACAAAGCACATCATTCTTAATCTCATCCCTTCATTGAATCAATCGTAGTGTGAGCAGAATGCTGTCTAGCCTGACAACTCATGTTCAGTCCCTGGAACCCACATGCTGAAAGGCAAGAATGGACTTATAATTGTCCCAAATAATGTCTTGGTTGAGACCAAGATGGCTTGAAACTCTTGGTGATACCCCGTGTTCTCCCCCACCTATAGGGTTAATGTCTGGAAATCCCCCACCATCCACCCGGGTTGGTTCAGGACTGTCCCCACATTGGGTCCGCACAGTCTACTTCTTACTAAAAGAGAGAGTAAAAGAGGGAGGGGCTCACTTTAGTAAAAGTCTGGTTTGAGGAAGCCCTAAGGCCTGGTGTTTCCTGGAAGCTCTTGCTGGGCAGGAACAGGAAGGCTGTCTTCCCTAGCAGGATGGAAGTTCGCTCTTGCAAGGACACTCGTCCAGAAGAGACTTTGAAGCCTTCCTGGGTCTCAGTTTCCTCATTGGAAGTGCACCCTACCTCTGAAGCCTAAGCTACAGCCTTTGATCCCTGTTCTCCAGCAGAGGCTTTGGTGCTGGGGCTTCTCCCCAGCCCCCTTGCTGGTCTATTCTCCTGTGTGCTCTTCAGGCCTCCTGTGTTTCAGACTCGGGAGGGGCTGAGTGAGCTTGGAGTCCTTGTGTTTCAGGTAGAGAGATGAGGGAAACCAAGGTAGGACGCCTGACTTAAGGGCCACCCCCAATCCATCCCTGTCCTTGATCGGAGTCATTTTTCTTGGACCCCCGTGTGTTGCTCCCTGAATTTGGTGGCAGAGGAGACCCACCTCAACAGTTCTTCGGGAACCAACCTGAGCCCACAGCTTTGAGAAACCAACTCCTTGCCCCGCGTACACATTTTTCTCTGCACTTTCCGCCTCTTTCCAGAGCTACCGTGTCTCAGAGTGGAAGCCCTGACTTTGAACTCCTGCTTTCCCTGTGACTTGCAGAGCAGATCAGTGTACTCCAAGAGTACTTCCTGGACTGACCGGGTGCGGGGGTCCCCCAGTCCTGGCTGTTTGGCTTTCATTTTAGCAGGGCCCTGGGTCCTATGCAGGAGCAGCTCAGTTGTTAATACTGTCTGGTCCTTAAGCCACCCATCCCTTCCTTCCCCAGCCCTAATTCAAACCATTTCAGGGCTGGAAAGATAGCTCAGTGGTTAAAGTGATTTCCAGGGCACACCTAAGGTTGGTGACACACACTTGTAACCCCCATGCTGGAGAGGTGGAGGCCTGAGTGTTTGCTGGACAGCCAGTCTAGCACAGTAGTCCAGGCCAGTGAGTCACCCTGTCTCAAAACATAAGGTGGGGGTCTGCAATATGGCTCAGCAGGTAAGGGCAACTGCTGCCAAGACAGATGATCTGAGTTCAAGCCCAGGACTCCAGAGATATATGTGCACTTACACACCCACACACACAAGCCTGTACACACATATGCACGGGCACGCTCACATTTGAAATAAATACATAAATGTCTGAAAACATTTTTTAAGTGAGGTGAACAGCGCTTGAGGCCCAACACTGGGCGTTATTGTCTGGCCTCCGCAGGCATGCGCCCCTTTACGTAAATGCTCTCACATAAACACGTACCCACCTCCATCCCCTACCCACACACCATCCTGAACCCTTAGCCACTCAGATCATCTAGTTGTCCCTCTTTTGGCTTGTCTGGTGCACACCATTTGTGTTTAACACTGTTTGAATCGGGGTGTCTCAGCCTCTAGACTGGACCAGATAACTTGGCTGAGAGAGAAATGACTGGCCCGTGCAGGTGGCCTCTACCCACCAGATGCCAGTACCCCTCTCTCTCCTAGTTCTGACACACGGCCTCCAGCCATCTGCAGATGCCCTGCTGGGAACCACTTCTGGCTTCAGCAGAGACACTTGGGTGCTGGAGAGGGACCTTCCGGAAATCAGCCATTTGTCCTTGAAGTTGACACCTGCCCCTCCACTCATCCCGCTCGGCTTTTGGGGGCGCTCATTGTGTATATACCACAGGGGAAGGAGATGGCTTAAGCCTGTGTTTGGTGAAGGGTTTGGCTCCATGGCAGGAGGGTGTTTCTGGGTTCAGGGTGAATGGTGCACACGGTCCAGCAACTGCTTCCCTCGTGGGCTTCTGCGCCGGGACTTCTAACCCACAGATTTCCTGCTGTCTGGGTTGTAGGTCATTAGGCAGCCAGGGAGCAGCGTGTTGTGACTGTGGTTGGAGCAGACGGGCCAGACTAGTGTCTTGTGAAGGTGCAGAATAACCATTCGTACACTGCTGGGGATGATCTCACACGTGGGCACGGGCTTGCAGGCCGCTCCTGCCCCTTGCTGCCTTCCCTCCCAGTTAGGGGGACAGCAAGGAAGTCCCCTCGCCCAACAGGTTGCATTTTTTTGCTATCCTTGTAAAGAAGAGAGCAAGGTGGGGTTACGGGGGGGGGGGGATTAAATCCAAAAAGAGAGGTTGACAGCAGCCAGGGGCTTCGGGACAGGGAAGAGACTGGCAAAAGCTGACTCGGTGGCCCAGGCAACTGATTATTTAAAAGTAAGGAAATAATGTCAAAGCAGACTGCCGTGTGGTGTGGCCTTCTCTCTTGGGGTGCCGCCGTCCACAGGCAGGCCCCGGAGGCTGAGTCCCTCCCCCCAACATCAGCTTCTTCGACGATGCCCAAGCTGAGAGCAGGGCGTCAAAGCCTCCAGTTTGCTTTCTGAAAGTCATACATAACACAGACACGGCCCACGCGCTTGTAGAGCTGCGTGTCTGCACGTCTGCTCTCTGTGAGTCCCAGGGAACCCTGAAGAAGCTACCGGGGTGCCCCCCATGCCTGGATGGTGCTTTCAGAGGCCAGTGTGACAGGGTTGAGAGCAGTCACCGTCAGCCTGCTGTGCACTCCCTCGGGCCACTGTGGGTTGGAAGTGTGGTTCAGTGGTAAGAGCACTGGTCTGCTGTGTGAGAGGCTATGGGTTCCATCTCCAGCACTACGAAACAAATGCATAATTAACTGGAAGGCTTCCCCTTCCTCTAAGCCCACCAGTACCGCATGCACGTGTCCATGTGGACTAGACCTTTCGTTTACAGAGGGCCTGGGTGGCGAAATGTTGGTGTCAAACTCCTAGGTAGATTGAGGGGTTGATTCTTTTCTGCGCTGAGGGTGGAACCCACGACCTTGCTAGACAAACAAACCACAGCCTCTGCTGCTCCTGGGTTCTAATGCCGGCAGCTTTTATTTTATTTCTTCTCTCACCCCCCCCCCAGACATAGTCTACCATTGAGTGACCTCC